GCCTTTCAAACAGGATTATACAAAATATTGTGATATTATAGTTATGTTTGGGCATGTCAGAGTAAAGCTTGAGGCAATTGATACCTAAGCCATATTTTAACATTTCTCTGTCAAAGAAAATCACTAAGATAGTCCTAACATTATTTTATTTAAATAAGAAATACAGAGCCACTAACTGGTACGCTATATCCTGGGCATACAGAATAATGAAGAAAGCTAGTGAGTGAAAAATAAAAACAATATTTTAAACATATCATGCTCAAAATATTACATATCTAAGCTTAGTTGTAAGTTGGTAAAATATAATGCTAATGAGAAATAGCTCTACAGGTTAATAAACTAAATTCAAAGTAATTATACAAATGATTGAAATGAGAAAATGTCTTAAATGCTTAGAGCTTTTTACTGAAGACTAATTTTAAAAAATATGAATTCATATTTTTTATTTGAATTCATAAAATTCAGAGAATTTACAAAGAATAGAATTTATTTTTGTTCAATCGAAACAAAAACAAATCATATTTATTTATGATCTTTGAATTATTTCAAATTTCACATTAGTGAATCTCTGGAAAAGGAGGGTTGGGTATACATTTGATATTTATGAATTATAAATTATTTAGCAAGTGCCATACCTTGTGTCCTGTGGTGTCAGACTCAGAGGTACAGTACAGAAAAAGATAATCATGTCCCTACCCTCATATCTGTGTTTCAGAGTATAAGATATATAGAGATTGAAAGATAGGAGGAAGGAAGGAAGAAGGGAAGGGGAAGGGAAATGGAAATGGAAGGAAAGGAAAGGAAGGAAGAAGAAAAGAAGAATGGTTACGTGATGCCTGAAAAAAGTGAATTTCCTTGCGACAGAGTATAGTTGCAATCAGTGCAGTCCTAGGAACCCCACACATAGATCTATACATTGAGGACAGAGATGTGCTGACAGTCAGGCTCAGGCCTGTCCTTTGTGAGCTTGGGAACTTTCATCATGTTCTCTTATCTTCAGTTTTCTTATTTCACAAATGAAGAGTAAGATTAGGTCTTTTAAGCCCTTTCTGATGTTTTACATTAGGTAACTGGGACAGACAGTTTCAGCTCCCAGTGTGGATGATGTAGCCAGTGTGCTCGTGGTCGGGTCTCAGTTTCTGCATCTAGATGCTAGATGAGCTGAGACTAAAAGTGAGGCTTCAGGCTGATAATCTCTCCTCTGTACAAGAGCAATCTAGTATTTATCTTCAGGCCTTTACTACAAAGTTTCTTACCACTGTATTTAACCTTGATATCTTAATCTGTGGTTAAAAAACAAAGTATATAGAAACACAGTAATGAAAACAGAACTAGACGATCGGCACCCCTAATAACTGGAAAGGTCAAAATCTACTCTGTTCACTTGATGATTCCTTGTGTGTATTTGGGGATATAATATAAGGGAAGATTCTAGGCTGTGTGTCCTGAATCAGTGTTTTTAAGCTTTGAAGGCAAAGGATTGGAAATACGAACGGTGCTAACAGGCTGACAACAGGAGCTTGGGGCTGGAAACCTGATAGAGCAATGAGAGGCAGGCAGGGAGAAAACGGCGTTCAATGGGTTGTGTAGAAAAAAATTGTTAAGTCCACGATACACACGTGGATATGAAAATCAGTCATTTTCCTTTTCCTCTGTGTGATGAATGTGGCAGACTTGTGATCCTGGCCAGGCGCAGGATTAGGATGCAAATAACCTGGAGTTTGCAGCGCCCAGTGGTCAAGGAGCAGCCCAGGCATCTGGAGTGGGCTCAGCCAGCCCCCGCTGCTGTGTGACCAGCCTTCAGCCTCAGGCAGAGGAATGGGTGTGTGTG